GTTGAGATATTTCAAAGTGGTGGGTCGAATGACCGATCAATAGACTGTTGCTACCCTTGAGTGTTCCTAAAAAACACATTGATCAAATTCAAGTATTCCTGACAAGAAAGGGCTCATCCTCCAACACTTGTCCAATCAAATCACATCTTTTACCCTTACCCTCCTCATGAAAACATCCATGTCACCTCACGCAGCAGTGATTTACACGTCAATATTTAGGATGCACCCCTCTCTAGATGACCAGCCATCTGCTTAGATTTACATCCTTTCCCCAATTACACAGAAAACAGCCAGTTCACAGACTACAAAGCCAAAGTGGTGTAGCTAACCCTCAGGGCTGGTTGAACCCACTGAACCCTAAAACGCTCAAGCAGGACTGCTTAGAGCCAGTAAAAGAAGANNGGGGGGGGGGGGGGGGGGGGTACTTGTAGTTTTGTATCACTGTGTTGGTACTCTGACTCTGGGGGTTCTGCGAGACACAGAGAAGAAGACTGCAGGAGACCTGACGGTGTCAAAACACATTATTATTAGTCCCCCACATGGAAAACAGCAACTGGACCAGACCTCACAGAGAGAAAGAAACAACACAGAGAGAGGGAGCAGAAAAGAGAAAGAGAAAGAGACAAGGACAGAGGAATAGAGAGGCCATAGAAAGAGAGGAGGACAGCGGGGATAGAGAAATTATGTTCAGTGTTTTTGTAAACTAGACCTCGGAATCAGTAACTCATCTTTGATATGAGTTACTCTTTCTGTTGGACTTCTCTGGCTGTTTCCAAACTCTACAGAGGTCCAAACAAATGAACAGTGCAAAGTGAGAAACAAAAGCACTTGTGAGTCCCTCTGGATGGCAGTAATGGAAAACCAGAAATCATCTCTGTTATTACCTCAATATGCTGTACAGCTGTCTGTTTAAAAGAAAACCAAAAACATTATGTCTGTTCATCTTTATGGCTTATTTCTGAAAGGTTTTGCTTTGTTCACACCTCTTTTTCATGTATTTAATGTTTTTTTCTTATTATTTTTGGCTGCTTGTATAAAAAACTGATGATCTCATCTGTTCTGAGTTTGAAACAGGCCATTCATTAGTCTATGTGTTGCTTAGCCTCCACACTAAATGCTCCATATTTCCGCTATTTAGTAGATGTCTGAATGGCTTTGAAACTCTTTCAACTGTCAGTATGCATTGCCATTATACCCCCTCAACCCGACTCCCCACCACCACCTTCACCCCTTGGCCTGGATCTGCAAAGTATGGCTCACTCCAGCGCCATGCGCCCACAGATAAGCTAAGCAAGGGCAATAACCAGCACTGTACACTGATCCTTGGGGAAAAATCCCGGAGCACATCCTGTGGACTTGTAATCAGGTGTGGCGCACGCTGTCCACTCAACATGCACTCAACACTCTGTATCACACTTCACATTTGGCCCTGTGCCACCCTCAGCTAGTTAGTTCACCTCCAAACCATCATCCACACCCGTCTGCATCACAGAAACACCTTCTCACCACCAGCCTGACGCCTCCACAGCAGTCGAGTGTAAATCAGCTGCCTGTGCAGTGGATAGACAAGAGGCAACGGGGGTGGATGACATAGAGAGGTCATCCAATCTCTGGAGCAGATCCCACATTGATCCATTTTATGGGGCCAGACATAATTATGCCCACCTGAATGCTGGTTCTGCAGCAGCTATACAGTGACATGCATATTCACACTTACAGGATCAGTTCCACATTGATGACAATTGTCACACCAGGGACTTTGGTGTAGGAGATAGAGAAGCTGGTGCCCCTATTGCTGTATTTTCCCAGAGATCTGTGACTCAGAACATCATTAGCACAGACACACTACTGTTATTCAGGCCGTGCAAAACGCCCTTCACCTTTTTCCCCTGTTTGCTCCATTCAGAGGCTTACATGCAAAGTTACCAACATCCAGGCACATGGCCTAGCAGCTCTGGTTTTAGTGGCACACAACAAATCTAATTAGCTCTGTTTGGGCCTTAATTTGGCACTTATTTGAAATTCAAAACATGCAACATTTGACACAGGGGCATATGGTCTAATTAGGATGTATTCTAGTTTGGTCCCAGTCATTGTATTGTTGATTGCTGCGCCTGCTGCCCCTCTGAGGGGAAATATGCCCTATTTATGATCCTCTACAGTATTTATACAGCAATGTACTAGAATGGATCGATAGAAAAGAAAAAAGAGAAGGTGCTGTGGTGACCTTTTGGCTGGCCAAAAACAACCCTCGGTTCATGATAGCAGGATGAGAGCCCTCTAAGAGTCGCCAGCTGGCCCCGTTTGAAAGCCCATCGCCCAGGCAAATAGGTCAGTGCCGCTGAGCCACAATCTCTGCAAGCAAATGGAAACCGAGGCTCTCAAAGGTCCTGGTCTGATCTGTCGTCAACCAGCAGTGGGTGTCCGGCCAGCGGTCAGCGGGTCGGCCTATTTGACAAGAGCTTTAAGGAGGGGACGGCGCGAGGGAGGGTAGAGGGAAAGCTGGAGGACAAGAGCCGAGTTGTGCTGCAAGGGCTGATTATGCGTGCTGCGGGGCTGGTTTCCTGGATGTTGTGTTTGTGTTGGAGCGGGTGGCTCCAGGCAGATGTTGCAAATGAAGGAGGTGCTGTTGTGTGTTGACATTGTGGAAAATCATCCCGGATGACATCTGATTGGTGTTTGAAGAGGAAATATTTCCAATGACAGTGAAAAGAATATCCCCAATATTGGAGCATCCTCACTCTTTTGATATGTGATATCTATTATTGTATCGATTACTTTCCAGTAATTCTTAATCGTTCCTCAGAGCTGGCAGCCAGCTTCATGTAAAGCAGACTTAAGTGTTACCATCACACTTGACTGGTTCTGAAGACTAAATGAGCTGTTACTGTGGGAAAGAAAATCTGTCTCTCTTTGCTCTTGCTCACTTGTGCAGCAGAGAAAGGGCACAAATTGTGTTTTCATATGTGTTTTTGTTCAACAGTATTGCTTTCTCTAGGTCCTCAGTGTCTGTGGCATGGACACAATCATCCTCCAGCTGTGCCCACTGCCCACACACATGCACACACCATCCATCTGTCAGTGTAAGTACACAAACACTGCTTCAACAAACATCGGATGACCTTTTACCTTTCCAAAGCCACCTGCATACATACAACCAGACACCTACAAACACAAGTAAGCACACACTCATCCACACACAAAAGGTAAAGCTGTGGAAGTATATGGCCTTGATAAAGACACATTTGTTTGATTGCGAGACTTTGACAGACTTTATGGCTGTATTGTTGAACAGAGATAGAGATCAATTAGGCGGCTGCTGACAAGAGCCATAATGTAAATGCCCTTTTACCTTTCCACAGCCACATGCATAGTGTAGATAAAGATATGATCTCATGAGGGAGGGAGTGTATAGACTATATTGTCCTGTAGTGTATATAGTATTCTGATTTATATTCATACAGAAATGTTTTTTTATACTTGTCTAATCACGTTTATTTGCGTGTATAATGATTTACACTGATAATGTATAATAGTATAACCTAAAGCAAGGACTGAAGATTAAGTGATTTATACTTTTCTTACAGCAACGTAGACTATAACTGATTTTCTTTAAAAAAAAATCTATCTATCCAGAATCTATGAATATGCAATTGTTTTTCATTTCTAAAGTTTTCCTGCTGGTCACAAGATGTCTCCTATTGCATTCGCAGTGTATGTGGACTGAGGGCTTCAGGTTTCTACATCACACTTGTATAAGTTGCACACTGGATCAGGATTCAAGGATTAAAAAAGAAATATTAATGTGTGCTGACTTCCAAACTATTTGTGATGCCCTCAACATCAGATTGTCAATGAGCAGCGCAGAGAAACTTTCCACTTTC